GCTATTCCGTTTTGATCGCGGGGAAAACGAAAAGAAAGAAAGAAAGAAAGTAAAAAAAAGAAAGAAAGAAAGAAAGAAAGAAAGAAAGAAAGAAAGAAAGAAAGAAAGAAAGAAAGAAAGAAGAAGAAAATTGGTGACTGAAAGAAAGAAAGAAAAAATTAATAAATCATGATCATGAAAAATTGACAGAAAAGAAAGAAAGAAAGAAAAAAAAGAAAGAAAGGAAGGAAGAAAGTAACAAAGAAAAAAAAAGAAAGAAAAAAGTAGATAAATGTGTTTAATGTCTCTTGATAAATAATAGGCTATTCCGTTTTGATTCCGTGGAAAAGGAGAAGAAAGAAAGAAAGAAAGAAAGAAAGAAAGAAAGCAAGAAAGAAAGAAAGAAAGAAAGAAAGAAAGAAAGAAAGAAAGAAAGAAAGAAAGAAAATGTTTAACGGCTGTTTCAGTGAAATGGAAAAAGTTGTCAATTTCAAATGTTTTTCATTTGTACCCTCTTACTTCTTAAAATAACGACCAGCATTCATATTCATGATTCTTATTGCAATATTTTGTTAAAGTTAAGCTCAAGTATTTAATGATGTGAGAGCGGAATTTCTACGGACATTTTATTGTCGTAGAACTCGCCACGAGCTTATTCAATCATTAACTTAAGAATTAAGATTCATCATAAATTTCAAATAGAAAAACAGTGACATTTTCACGGAGCTTTCTAGTAGTAATTGTTATTATTATTATTATTATTATTATTATTATTATTATTGATATAAACATTAGAAAATTATTCAAATGTTTCTCTCGTGGTCAGATCTATGTAGATATATCCAAATTCGGAAATTCAAGATAAGACCACCCCCATCATGTTACTCACGTTATATTTGCATTCCATTCGCACTGATTGCATTTCTTGTCATTGTTATTATTATTGAAAGTAGAATAATCTTGTGTGTCTTGTTATAGGCCAAGTGGCAACAAATCCCTTCAGACTTCCTGCTTTTTAGAATCTTCACCGTTCTACGTTTTATTCTAATTTACTTTGTTTTTCTCATTATTGTCACTGCTGACGGCAGAATATAGATGAATAGAAATCGCTAAAAATAATTTTCTAACAGAATTTATATTTTTTCGAAAGCGAATACATAAAAAAACGGTCTACGCAGGAATTGCCAAAAGTATTTTGCCCGAAGCATCTTTGTGAAGATTAATCTTCTAAATTAACAAATAACAAAAATAAATATATTGGAAACTGGTTTTCAAATAAAATCGAAATTTTATAAATTTATTAATTTAATTAATTCGAATAACCCGTAATAAAATAAGATTTCGTGTAAATTATATCTTAGCTTTTTTATTTTATTTCTGAAATGACTTTTAATCAAAGTTAGAAGAATTTTTCAAGTTGAAATTTTCTTTACTACTCTCAATAATAATAACAATGATATGAAATGCAATCAGCGCAAATTGAATGCAACTGTAACGTGAGTAACATGATGGAGTTTGAAGAAGGCCTGAGCGTAAAACGGCCGAAATGTTGTAATAAGTATGTCGACAGAGATGAGGACAATAGTCCGAATAATGTAAATAGGTTACATAATACCTCATCTCAGAAATATAAACAGATACTTAAAGACCGAAAAGTTGTGATAAATATGGCGACAAAGATGAGTTCAATAGTCCGAATAATGTAAATAGTGTAAATAATAACCTCATCTCAGAAATATAGACAGATACTGAAGGGCCGAAACGTTGTAATAAATATGGCGACGAAAATGAGGGCAATACTCCGAATAATGTAAATAGTGTACATAATACCTCATCTCAGAAATATAGACAGATAATGAAAGACCGAACCGTTGTGATAAATATGGCGACAAAGATGAGGACAATAGTCCGAATAATGTAAATAGTGTACATAATACCTCATATCAGAAATATAAACAGATACTTAAAGACCGAAAAGTTGTAATAAATATGGCGACAGGGATGAGGACAATAGTCCGAATAATGTAAATAGAGTTTGGTCTTATCTTGACTTTCCGAATCAGGATATAGCTACATAGATCTGACCACGAGAGAAACATTTGAATAATTTTCTAAAGTTTATATCAATAATAATAATTACTACTAGAAAGCCCTGTGAAAATGTCAATGTTTTTCTATTTGGAATTTATGATGAATCTTAATTCTTAAGTTAATGATTGAATAAGCTCATGGCGAGTTCTACGACAATGAAATGTCCGTAGAAATTCCCCCTATAGCATTGTTAAATATTTGAGCTTAACAACTTTAACAAAATATTGGAATAACAATCATAAATATGAATGCTGGTCGCTATTTTAAGAAGTGGCTACAAGTGAAAAGATTTAAAATTGCCAACTTTTTCCATTTCACAAAAACAGCCTTTAAGCATTTCTATCACAACTTCTTTCTTTCTTTCTTTCTTTCTTTTTATTCTATCTTTTTTTCTCATGTATGCAACAGCTTTTTAATGTTTAAATTTTCTTCTTTTTTATTTTATATCTCTGCACCCGCTTCATTCTTTTTTTTTTTTTTTTTCTTTCTTTCTTTCTTTCTTTCTTTCTTTCTTTGTTTCTCGGGCTTTCTTTCTTTGTTCCTGTCTTCCTTTCTCATGCTTTCTTTCTTTCTTTCTTTCTTTCTTCCTTCCTTCCTTTCTTTCCCGTGTATCCGACAGCTTCTTAATGTTTAAATTTTCTTCTTTTTTTATCTTATATCTTTTTATCCCTTTTTTCTTTCTTTCTTTCTTTCTTTCTTTCTTTTTCTTCTTTCTTTTCTTCACATGTATCAGACAGCTTAATGTTTAAATTTTCTTTTTTATCTTATATCTCTTGACCCCCTTTCTTTCTTTCTTTCTTTCTTTCTTTCTTTCTTTCTCTGTTCCTTTGTTCCTTTCTTTCTTTCTCATGTATCCGACAGCTTCTTAATGTTTAAAATTTCGTTTTTATCTTATATCTCTGCACCTCTTCTTTCTTTCTTTCTTTCTTTCTTTTTTTTTCTTTCTTTCTTTTTTTCTTTCTTTCTTTCTTTCTCATGTATCTGACACCTTCTTAATGTTTAAATTTTCTTCTTTTTTATCTTATATCTCTGCACCCGCTTCTTTCTTTCTTTCTTTCTTTCTTTCTTTCTTTCTTTCTTTCTTTCTTTCTTTCTTTCTAATAACAACTAGTTTTAACCTATGAAAATGTCACTGTTTTTCTATTTGAAATTTATGATGAATCTTAATTCTACAGTTATTGACTGAATAAGCTCATGGTGAGTTCCACGACAATAAAATCTCCGTAGAAATTCCATTATCTCATCGTGAAATATTTTAGCTTAACAAATTTAACAAACTGTTGCAATAACAATATTGAATATGAACGCTGGTCGTTATTTTAAGAAGTGGGTACAAATGAAAATAGTGTCTTTTCTCCATTTTCCAGGTGATCAAAATGGAATAGTCTAATATTTAAGTGTTGACAAGAGACATTAAACTCTTCTATCTTCCTGTCTTCATATCACGTTTAATATTTAATATATACGATTAATTGAGTTAATGCAAATGTTTTCTAACAAAATCTTTCATTTCTATAAATTCCTAGCACCCTAAAAATTAGCAAAAACCGTTAAATTCTCAACGGGTCCTATTCTACATGAGCCAAGGAAATCGATACCATAACGATTGATGCATTTTTTTTTATTTTGTAATCATTCCCCCATCCCAAGCAAGGCGATAATGTCACTAAGACGCAAGGCGTTACTGGGAGTGGAAGAGAAGCAGAAAAAGTTAGTGGCGAGAATAGACAAAAAAAGAACAGGATTCCAGAAGACATAAGGTGATTGGCGTCACATTTAAATTTTTGAAGATTGTAGATGACAGGAAAGCAAGAAACCAGGAGGAAGTCCCACAGGCGAGGTGAGGCCTAGTTGCCAATCTAGTAGAATGGAAAAAATGATCGGTTTCCTGTAACACTCCAGTACCTGAATCTACGTGTTATCCTCCACCTTTACAAGAGCCAGATCAGGCCAAGAATGGATTACTGCTGTTATATTTGGCGGGAGCTACCTCTATAGAGTCCAAAAGCGTCTCAGAGTTCATGAGGGTGACGAATTTTTTTCCAAACTCCAACCTTTCCCTCACAGATGGGATGTGGCAAACCTTTCGCTTCTCTATCGCTACTTTCACGGTTTCGCCAGGCCTAACCTTCACGGCAAGAACCCGTCTCTCCCTGCGTAATGGGGATCTTTAGGAATAAGACTCCAGTGCTGGACCTTTGTTGTACATGAGTTGGCCAGTATTATAGAACTTCTTAATTCTACTAAAGATGAAGCGAAAAGAAAGCAACAATTCTTGACCTCTGTCTGGTGGAATTTCCAAGGAGTACTGCATTTCGAGATTGTTCCGCATGGTCGCGCTATCAACGCCAAACTTGCAAGCAGCTACACGGCTTGTACGACAAAGAAGGAGTATCCTGCTTTGGTCAATAAAGTTTGGGCTTTGTTTCAGCAAGACAATGCGAGGCCTCACACTGCCAGGTTGACTCAGGAGAAGTTCAAACAGATGGACGGTGTTGAGAATCTTCCACATCCACCGTTCAGTCCCGATGCTGCTCCGGGTGACTATAGCCTATCCCGCTCAATGGTACACTTCCTCCGCGACCAGCAATTCAATATTTTTGATAAAGTGAAGGGAGCTTTTTTACAGTATTTTGATTCAAAGCCAGCGATTTCGATGTTCGCTGATCGCTGGCAGAAGATGGTCGAGAATGGCAGGACCTTATTTTGGAGAATAATTGTTGATGTTGCTCCATAAATTTTTTTGTTTTCTTTCCGCTTCCTAAATGAGTCAGGACTTTCTGGCCAACCTAATATTATCATCGTACATTACTAATGAAAACACGAAACTTAATCTCCCATTACATTGTTTATTTATGGCCGGACTTTGTCAATCACCATTGGTCAGTGGGTGTTCGACTTTGCTGACCTTTTCTGAATGTGGACTCTATATTCTCCCGAGAAAGTATGAGACTGTCTCTTCCCCCCCTTTTTTATATATTTTCCTATCATATTTTTTTCACACGTTTTTTATATGTTTTAATTATTGATATCGAGTGCAGCGTAGATCTGCACCTAGTGGCTAGGAACTCATCAACCCGCTGATACACCTGGCTTCTTCGATGATCTGATGCGATATTCAATGCGGAGTATATTCTGGAATCATCTGGAATTAGTGACATATTACAAAGAGAATGTCCTCAATGTTTTCTCACCATTCGTATCATTAACTGATTTTCGTGATCTTAACGCCAGCATGATCTTCGGACAATCATTTTTTCTTTAACTCTCTTTGCAAGGTTCCATGAAATTTTTCAGAGCGTGCCTTGAATGATGAGCATTATAACTGCACCCTTATTTCATGTCTTTCGCTGTTGTTTTGTTTTTAGGTTTGTTTTTTTGCTTTGTCTTGTTTGCCTTTTGCCTCCCTTTTAGCAATGTCCAGTTCTGTTTTTTTTTTTTTATTATTATTTATTTTATTTTCCTCTCTTATTTTTTCACTTTCCTTCAAGATTTCTTTGTAGTGTGCTTGGACAGAGACATCTGCCGTATTTTTTTTTCTCGTCGTTTTTACAGCGGCAAGGTCGGGGCTTTTGGTTTGCATGCGGGGATTCGCTTAAATTTAAACGACCAAGATATATTTTTGTTTTCATTACTTATCTTTGAGGACAGCGGTTTGATCCTCATTAAAACATTACAATTTGAAACCGATTTCATTACCTTTATTCGATATTACCTTTCTTTGATATTTGTTCTCCGTTAATTTCTATTTTGCTTCATATACGCACTGTTCTGGACATTATTATTATTATTATTATTATTATTATTATTTCCTTTGATTTCTGTTGTATACACATTTCCTTCCGGGTCCCAACCAGAGACCTAAAGCCAGAAATGGGTTCATGACATTTTCCACTGATCATTTTTCTAAAAAAAACAAAAACAAAACAAGACAAAAACGGTCGAAAAGTCAGAAATGGCATCATGAGTATTTTCACTTATCATTTTTGTAAAAAATGACAACTTCAGATCACACTGATTTTACATAGATAAAGCCCTTCGTAATGTGTGAGCTGTACATGTGAGTACAATTTTTTTTGTATTTCTTTAAGGCATGGACTACCAGGAATCCCTTCAA